ATCGCAAGACTAAACAAGCAGATCACCTTCGGAAAATGGCTTGCCAAACGCAGTCCTTCTGGGTCAACTTCGACACCCTCAGGAAAAGCCGCAGAAGGAACTCCATCTGGGGGTCCTTCCTCTCGCCCTACGACGTCGCGCTGACCTCGGAGGAAGGCCTCCTTCAGAGCAGACTGAGCCGCGACACTCGGACGTCCCGTTCGCTGCCGCCCCGCTCGCCGCGCACGAGGAGGCGAGGGGCAGCTTCTCCTGCGCCCCTGACGCCCTTCTCGACACTACGTGATCGCCATCACGCCGCGGCTGCCGCTCCGCCTCGGGCAGATATTAACGGGCGGTGCGCCTCATGCGCCGCTGAGAAGAAGAAGAAGAAGAGGACTTTGAAGAAGAAGAAGAATGGGGTCTCGAAGTCCGCCGAGGTCCTGGAGGACTCCTCGCCCGGCCACTGCGAGCTAGGATTCTGGGAGCAGAAGAGGCTCCTCTCCAGGATCAGTAGGTCCTCCGACGAGCTCTCCAGGGTGAAGCGGGTATACTTGGAGGAGCTGGACCTGTGCAACGTCGGCCTCTATGCGTCCAGGTCGGACGAGTCTCTGAACTGCTTCGGCCTCGAAGGCGCCGACGTGTGTCCCGACGCCGCCGAGTGGGAAGGGCGGGCGCTCGCCCATTTGCACGGATCGCTCGCCACCCCCCGTAGGGCCGAGCAGCGACGTCAGGCGATGGATTTCAGCGAACGAAGAGGCGAGCGGGCCAGCAGGAGCACAGCCCAGCAGTCGCAGCGACTTTCCAGAAGGAGCACAAGAGCCGCCGCAGGGGGTCCTGCTGGGGACGACGCGGACGACCATCCCGCCGTCACTGTCCGGCCCGGCTACCGCCTGCCCAGGTCGCGGAGCTGCGGCGCCAAGACTTACCAGCGGGTCGCGTCGCCACCGCGGGAGGGCAGCAGGAGCCCTCGCTGGATGAGCTCGGCGAGCCTCAAGCCGGAGCGGAGTGGCGTCTCTCGGGCCCTCTCGGCGGACCCGGGGGAGCAGGAGGCTTTGGCCCTCGTCGGGGACATCCCTCCGGTCTCGCAGCTGCGCTTCAACAAATATAACTTCCGGAGGCGTCGGCCAGACCGGCTGGAGCTGCACAAGGACGTACTCTTTCCCCAGGGCGCAGGTCGGCACCATCCCCCGGAGGGCTTGAACCTCGGCTCCTCCGACACGAAGCCCAGAGGCGGGGACCCGGGGCGATGTGAGTGCGGGTGTGCGCGGGCGACGGCGCAGCAGCAGGAGCGCGCCTCGGCCCGAAAGACCTCGCGCAGTCTTCTCTTGAAGACGTTCAGCTTTCGGTCGAAGAGCGTAGATCGCGCGAAGGCCTCGACCCGCTCGCCGGCGCCGCGCGATTGGCGGGAGGCCGACGCCGGCGCTGCCCCCTGTGTTGGCCGCGAGGCGCTGCGGTAAGACCAGCTGCACTGGGTTTACGACCTCCTTTGCTCGTAAGCGCACGCACGTGTGTGTGTATATATACATACATACATACATACATGCTATATATATATATATATATATATATATATATATATATATATATATATATATATATATATATATATATTATATGTACGTATCTGTGTGTATATATGTATATCTGTAAGTGTGTGTATTGATGTTTATATTTTTCTTTCTATAGCATTCCAACGCATATATTACATAACAAAAGGAGAGCCATCCCATGATTTTCTTCTGCAGAAATATTGTACAGTCAGGTCTTGCCAGCAGTCCAGCGAAGACGTCATTCCATGCATAACGTTTTTGAGGGAGACTGAGCTATTCCTTTATTCGCTGACCCGAGGCAGTGCAGGCGTTTCGAAAGAGCGTTAGAGTATCTGTTGGCAGGTTGAGCATTTAGATGCAGAGGGATGGATTGTGAAATATACAGATTTGATGATCGAGACTAAAGTAATTATCAGGCAAGGTGAGCAATATAAAGGATTGCCTAGGTAATGATACGGATAATTTGGGTGTAATTATGACGCCTGGAAATCAGGTGTAGTGAGTAGAAAACGATATGTAATTGCCTAGTAAATTAACTGGAGTAGGTGGATGGTCAGCTATATATTTAATGCAAAAAACTTATGTGTGTCTGTTCACACACACACACACACATACTTCCACACGTGTACATATGCATATACTCTACCTGTGCATATACATATGCGTGTGCATACAAACAAGCAAAGAAACAAGTGCATGTGTTTATGTATGATTGTATGTATGATTATATATAAGTATTTACAGGTATGTATGTTTGTATGATGTATTTATATGCGCATGTACGCATCCGCATTCCCGCCTTCAGTGCCGTCTCCCGCAGGTGCTCGGAGAGGACGCGGACGGACGGAGCCGCGGCCTCATCTTCGACGGGTCGAGCAGCGCGCGCACGGGCTCCTTCCCGAACTCGCTGGTGGCGCGACACGACGCTCAAGGTAGGTGGCCGAGGGAGGCCTTTCCTATGGTCGCCTTAGCTGGCTTGGGAATGGCACTGAGGCGCTGACTTTGGGACCAGAGAGCACTGACCAAGGTGCCGCAGCCTCTCTCGTGGACAAAACAGCTCTGGGGACACTGAAAGTGGGATTTTTATTAGGGATCAAAGTACGCAGAGGGCCAAGGTACCGAAGATTCTACTCAATTTAACTAAGCTTATGTGGGATCGAAGAAGTCAGTCGAATAGAGACCGTATATGCTCTAATCCAGTGGTACCTAGCCTTTGCACACTATAGGTGTATGCTAGGCTCCTACCAACTCCTCACTATTAATTTACAAATATAATTATTTTACGCATGTACAAATCGAATATTCGCGAGAAAAAAAAAACAACATTAAGTTACTCTATAAGAAAACAAAAAATCTCCAATTGATGGGAAATCTAGGTTGTTAATTTTTTTCTCGCTTTCCATTGTCTCCGACTTAAAAGGTAGTGACTTCATGGGCGAGAAATACGCAAAATATTGGGTGACCGCTTGGAGGGCGCACGCGACGTGTTTGTCCCGACACACAGTTGGAGAACCACTTCTGTAATCGTTAGCCTGCTGCATAAGCGAATTTGGCCCACAAGAATGTATTTCTTTCATGTTACTGATTATGTAGATATGATTTCCATGTGATCTAGAGACGTAAAAATGACAAACAGAATCCTTCTACAACTGTAAATTTTGCAAAACTTGCACATCTGCCATCCTGTTCATGTGGAATCAAGTGTCAGATTTCCCTGGTGTTGTCGGTCTAGTTTGACCTCTGATGATGAGGCTGGAGGTCATTTTGATGGTATGTCAAGAACTGAAAATACTCACGCTTAAATGCACATTGAGTTTGTGGAAATGGAGCTGCTTTGTCAACGCCCCTTTGATAGACGTCTCTTTTCTGGCCAATTTTTGTTACAATGTAGACTTGCCTTTCGACACAGCTTCCTGCCGCCAGAAGGAGGTACGTTCCGTGGAAAGATGTGTCCAAATGCGTCGGAAAGCGCTGTCGAACATCTTCCATTTGCATTCTGCTTATTCTCCTTTTTGGCCCTTTGGACATTTCCCGTCACTAAAGGTACGGTCAGACTACCCCATAGATTCATGAAATCCAGCGATTTCTAATGGAATTTGCCCATCGATGGACTCAATCCACTGGCCTTTCGCTCACACGTTCGATGCGATGGATACCCACTCGTCCATCGATGAGCGAGTGGAAAATCTATAGTATGCATAGTTTGCATATATTTTCATTTCAAAGCATAAATATTATTATATATTTCAAATCTATAGTATGCATGGTATGCATATATTTTCATTTCAAAGCATAAGTATTATTATATATTTCAAATCTATAGTATGCATGGTATGCATATATTTTCATTTCAAAGCATAAATACAAATAAATTGATTTGACTGACGAATATAAACAAATGCGTAGCCACCAACTTCAGCTTCAAACCGCAGATCCCGTGAATATTCGAAATGTGGAATTCTGAAGCGATTTACACACCCAGATTCTTTTCTTGCTTCTCTTGCTCTTCTTATATTCTCTATAACTCCGGAAACATGAAAGAGTAGCAAGAGCTAGGGAGAAGATTACGGGATCCAGAGCGAGTTTCTGCGATTTGTTTTGATGCCGTGATTCCTCTGGACAGAGGCGATGGTTCTCTTCGCAGTGTGAATACCACAGATGGGTGGGTTGGTTCCAGCCCACAGAAAATCGCTGGATTCCAATGAAATTCATGGGTAGTCTGGCCGTACCTTAAGCTGAACATCATCGCGAGAAAAGCTGTTATTCTGGGGTGTCCCGGGCCTCTTTCTCATCCAGGGGGAAAGCGAAGCGGGGCCCTGGTATTCCTGTGTGGATACAAGGTCTATATAAGTACTTATATAGGCCTTATGTGGATAAGCTGCACACAAACATACGCATGCCGTTTTATGTGTATTCATATTTTGCTGGCCTATTGTTCTTGTTTGTTTTAGTATTACTACTTCTTGTTGTAGTAGTGCTTGTCATTATTTTATTAACATTTTGTTATCATAGTTTTTATTGTTGATATTGTTATCACTGATATCACCATTACTCTTATTCTTATTTATTATTATTGTTATGAATGTTAATAGAAATATCATTATTATTGCTGTTATTATTATACCATTATGCATCCATCTATTATTCTTACTTTTATTATTATTATTGTTATTATCACTTGTTTTTGCTATTGTTGTTGTATCGTTACTTATTTTTTATCATCATAATCATCATTATCCCTATTATTATTATTTTCATCATTATTAGGTCGATGTTGATTATGATTTTATTACCTGCCTTTGGATTTTCAGTTGTGAGTTGTTGATATCCGCCAGTCAGGTTGCTGCATGACTCACAAATTAAAGTTAGGATTCCAACATTTTCCATTTTCATTCACGCGATGGGACTAGATTGACACATTGCATTTGCTTACATTCATTGCACGTGTGTGTGATTCAGATTGGACTGCATGCATGTTTTGCTGCAGTATTAAGGCTTGCTTAACCATGTGTGTGTCTGTGTGTTTGTGATGCGCTGTTGTGTTCTGGTGTGTGTTCCTGTTGTGGTGACTGTTGTGTTGAGTGTGTGAGTGTGCCGTCGTGCGGTGTCGTGTTTGTGGAGTGTGTGCTGAGTGTGTGTATTAATGTGTGTGTGTGTCTGTGTCTGAGTGTGTGTGCGTGTAATGTGGCGTGCTGTGTGTATGGTGTGTTGTTGTGTGGAGTGTGTGTTGTGTGTTTCTGTGTGTGTGTGCTTGTGTGTATGGTGTGTTGTGTGTGTGTATGTGAGTCTGTTGTGTGTGTGCATTATGTTGTGTGTGTGTGTGCGCGCAGCTAAATCGCGCCCAAATCCCTCTCTTGTTGCTGCGGACAGGCTCATTTCTGTCTCGCTGTGGGATCGTATTACCCCTTATAATGCCGCCGTGACACACGAGCTGCCAGGGACTATGGTATTCCGAAAGCGCGGGCCACAGGCTTTCACCCTACTCCTCTCTCTCTCCTCTCCTTCTCTCACCTCTCTGGTCTCTCTCCTCTTGTCTCATCTCTCTCTCTCTCTTCTCTCTCTCTCCCTCTCCCTCCCTCCCTCTCTCTTCTCTCTCCTCTCTCTCTCTTCTCTCTCCTCCTTCTCTCTCTCTCTCCCTCTCTCTCTCTTCCCTCCCCTCCCTCTCCTTCCCTCCCTTCCCTCCATCCCCCTCCCCTCCCTCCCTCCCCCCTCCCTCCCTCCCTCCCCCCCTCCTCTCTCTCCTCTTCTCTCTCTCTCCTCTTCTCTCTCTCTCTCTCTCTCTCTCTCTCTCTCTCTCTCTCTCTCTCTCTCTCCTCTCTCTCCCTTCTCTCCCTCTCTCCCTCTCCTCCTCCCCTCCCCCTCTTCTCCTCTCATCCCTCCATCCCTCCTCCCTCCTTCCTCTCTCTCCCTCTCTCTCTCCCTCCCTCTCTCTCTCCCTCTCCCTCTCTCCCTCTCTCCTCTCCCCCCTCTCTCTCCCCCTCTCTCTATCCTATATATATATATATCTATTTAGCTATCTATTTATCTCTCTCCCTCCCTTTCTCTCTCTCGATCAGTGTAGAAGCTAAAATTGGCCATAGATTAGTACTGAAAATCACCCATTCAGGACGACCGCCACAACAGGCACTGATTGCACCCGCGCCGCGCTCACCTCGCCCATCCCCGCCGCGGACGAGGCCAGGAAAGGAGGTAAACAAACCAATCGGCAGAGGCTGCGTTGTGGATCGATTCCCTCGACGGTCTTCTCATCGACCTTATCCTTATCGCTAGATTAATGTTTACTGCTGATAACAACCGTCACTTTCGATAAGCCACTGCCACAGAGTGCTGTGAGACCGTCTAGCAGATTGCATGAACAATGCTTTTGTTCTCGAAGAAAGAGGAAACAGATGAGCATGGAGAACGAATGGTTTTCTTTGTTCTCGGTACTTGAGTTTAGTATCTATGGTATCTATTTTGTGTGAGTTTGTTTTGTGCAGGTCTGTTTATTTGTGTGAATGTGAGGGTAGTTTTAAATGCGTGTGCTGCGAGGTATTCGCAATGTTCCAGTTGAGCTTTACTTATTCCTTTCCTTCATTAATATCTTTCCTTGTCTAGGCCTCAAATAAGAGAAGAGTCATTGTTTAAAGACGGTAGTAATCACCATCACTAGACCGTGCTACACATGGTTTCATTTTACGTCTCAGTTCCTCTCAACATTTATCTCATTATAATCACTACAACTCCTCGAGACTCTCTCACACAGACTGTTATTTGATGCAAAGCTCTCGGTCTTTCACAATTTGCAAACTTTTCCTCTCAGACATCGCAGCTCACCCGATCACAACGAAGCCATTAAAACCCAATTCCCATAGCCTCTGCACTCTTAAGGCAGCCTTGGCGATTCATCATTCAGTTCCAGATCCGGCTTCAAACAATAGGCCTTTGTCGCTCGCCTCAGCCACACGCTCCGTTCGGCCTCGGAAAACGAAACGATAAAAACAGTGTCAGTCAATGAATAAAGAAATTAATGAATAAAGGAAAGGAATCACTCGCAGTCTCTTCGTAGCACAAACCTTTTGGCCAACTGCTGCTACTACAACGCTGAACTCTGACAGTTTTGGCCACACGCGGGATAAAACAATCATTTTAGAACATGAGAAAAAATCGAAAGAAAAGTTCATCATACTGAAATAGATGTCATATCCAGCGTATAATAGATAGTGATACTGTTGTTGATATCAAAAATGATTTTGATAACTTAAACAATGACAGTATAAATAAAAATAATGATGATACGGAAAAGGATAAGAAAATTTCGATATTATTTGAAAGATAATGGTAATGATAAATTGTATTGTCAAATAATGCCTATATTATCCGCGCTAAATGCCTTGAATAACGAAATAGTTCAGATACGGATTTGAATTAAGTTTGAAGTTCGTATTTCCTTTTTATTTTCCCTGGTTCTATCGGACAGCATTTTTGAGTT